CTTGACTCATAAGTTTGAATTCGGCTCTGATGATGTTCGTCAAATGACGGACCGGAAATTAAGGAGATTGCCTCGGAAACAGGGTCAGCATGAATCTTCAGGTAAAACCAATCGTCTTCTGGTGGAACCGACCTTTGAAACTCTCCAGCCAACACTTTTACTCGAAATGGAAGTGAGCTCAACAATTATGAAACAAGAGATTCCTCGAAACCCAACTTTTCTTCGCATATATTCCAGCAAGTCTTTCTTTGGCGCAAGCAATTCCTTCACAGCCCTGTCCAACAAGTATTTGCATCCGAGCCAACCTAAAAAGTGATACAATTAAATGCTTATGCTTGAAGTTGAATTCTTGTCGGTGGTAGCCAGCACAAAAATTAGGTCCGTAAAGTATGACAAGTTGGTAATAGAATCCTTTTTTCGTGGAGTACGATTAAGTAAAAGTACATCAATGCCTAAATGCTCATTTTAGCGCCCCTTCTATTTAAATGTTGAAATCACACATTCTTCACGACTCAGTGTAGCCCAAAACTCAAAAGGGAAAATTTGCATTCTAAAATTGTCTTGCTGTTTCATTTCTAGCGAGAAGCACAGCTACAGCCAGAACATACGATTGAGCTTCCGAGCCGATCAAGCCAATGGCATTCTTCTGATCTGCATTGGTCGCCGCCCAACCGATGACATTTCCGGTATGGCGGTCGACTTTCTCGTGTTGGCCTTACGAGATGGCCACCCTGAGCTCACACTCCACTTACTTGCAGAATCAGAAAATCGTGAGGGTCTTTCTCCTCGGGCCATTGCTGCGGAGGCCCTGCGGTCTGACCCAATGATCCAGTCATCCCTAAATGGTCACGAGGTTCATGGATCTGGCTCCAAACTAATGCAGTCGGACAGGTCTTCTTATAAAGATGGAATCACAGGCGCAAAAGAGGCGAAAGAAGAGGCAAGAGTGGCGACAAACAGTGAGGCAGAAAACAGCCGCTTGATCCGGATCAGAGCACATGCCACAATGGATGATGGGAAATGGCACACAATACAAGCTTTAAGGTAGAATGATGATGTCTAGACATTGACTCAATTAGGCAAATGAATTTCAAAAAAATTTCTAAGTCTCTTTCGTGTTGATCAACAAATAATGTTGCATTAAAATAAGAAATTTTGGGAAACAGCAAATATTTGTTTGCATAAAATAAAAAGGAATGCGTTTATTGAAGTGAAGCTCCAATTGCAAAAAGCAATGGTTGCTTCGCACCAATTATCTACGGTTCACAATACCAAATAGCATATTTTGAGCCTTAGGTGATATTCTCTGTCTACCAAGATAAATAATAATGGTGGTAAAATAAAGTTAAAATAGTAACTATGTCTTTGTTTATTCTTTATATCTCGGCCAAAAAATATCGTCTTGAATGTGACTACCCTTTGGCGTTAATCTGTTCATCAAAACAATTTATAACTTTGATATGAAAATGATCACAAGTCGGCAAAATTCTTCTGAGGCTATGCAGAAAAATTGGTTGTCCAAGAATCCCTCAAAGGTAATATTGAAGTACCTTTCATGTTATTTGAAGGCGCGAGTGAAAGGGATTCACAAATTGGTCTGACCGGAAATCGAAGGCAGCGGCTATCG